GCAACTGTTCTTGCAGTAGTCTGATAGCAACAGTGCATTACTCTGACCAGAATTCAGTGTCCTGCTCCCTATATTTCCCTTTATACAGCCTTTTTTTTTTTTTTTTTTTGCCATGTGAGACATTTGAAATATATTGCTGTAGAACAGAGAGAGAGAGAAAAGAAATGGGAAACGAAAGGGTAAAAGAGAGAGAGAGAAAAGAAATGGGAAACAAAAGGGTAAAAAAAATGGCGCTTGTGGTGTACAGATAATAACCATCTATGTAACCATCAGAATTAGCAATGAGGAGCATGTTATAGAAATTATCCTCATGTACAGTTATGTCCTAGCTTTCTGTTTGATTGTAAGCAGGACGTTTGGTGTGCTTAGTGGGGTTCCAGCTAGCACTCTATACTAGTCTGAGTTTTGTTTTTCTTTTTCTTTCTGGAAAGAAAGTGGGGGAATAGTGTTGAGGCAGTGCTGGCCACTGAACTGTTTCAGCAGGTCCTGTTGTGCACAAACATCTGACTTGCTGCTGGTTTGCATTTGTATTGGATGGAGTGGAGTTGGACTGAAGAGGTGGCTATTCTGGCTCATGAGCTTGGCCCAGTGATTCTGGGAGAAAGGGCTGCCTTAGCAGGTATGCAGAAAGCATCAGAAAATTAGGAGCTGAGAGATGTTGCACTACCTGGATTTGGGTCCTGCCCGATTTATATTTTTTTCCTCATGCTACAACACTACAAATCAGAAGGTTTGATAAGTACATAAATTAAAGCCTTTTTGGTCAGAGACAGAGCTTTCACGGTGAAATTCTCAGCTCTTGAGTCAGAATATTTGTTTTTCTGAGGTGTTAACAGCAGCTGTGCTTATTTCTTCAGCCTTTGTTTAGGGTTTGAAACACATTTTGCTTTGTGGGTAGAAGCATCCAGCCCAGACCTCCCTGCCCCCAGTAGGTATTGAAATATTTCAGAGTGTTTTGGGTTCCTACCTGCTGGTATGTGAATGCATATGCAGTGGCACTGCTTGTTCGACAGTTTTGCCTGTCTTTGGTGCTGTCCATATATGCACAGTCACTTTCCGTAAATGTAATACTAGGAGTTTCTTTGCTATGTGTTTTTCATGTAGGACAGAATAAAAAATTGATTGTTATCTTCCAAAACAATATAGCTTTTTACTCCTTATGCTTGGCTTTGTAATTGGTTTTAAAGCTAAATGATGTCCGTTTTTCAAGGAAGACTTGAGTGGCTAGATGAAAATGTCATGAAAATAATGATGCTCTAGGTGACCCTGTGTGTGCAGGGGGGTTGGACTAGATGACCTCTACAGGTCCCTTCCAACCTTGAGCATTCTGTGATTCTGTGTCTGATGGTTAAATGATGAAAATGGCTAGATGAAAATCAGTATTTAGTTTTTAAAGTTTGATCATGGAAAAAAAACAGTTGAATCGATCTGTGAAGCTGTTCTTACTCATTTTTGTCCTTGTCAGTTCTCTTTCATTCTTAATTCATGTAATTATGTTTTATCCTCTACCTGCAGCTGGTGTCATCACCAGTTTTGTTCCCTTCGCGGTCTTTCTCATTTGGTTCTGGGGAACGAGACAGCAGTTGGACATGACGCTCCTAGCAGCCTGGATAAATGGCGAGAATGTCCCATGAAGCGAGGGAGGCAGAGCAGTCTGGCAAAGAGTCTTCCAGTTGTTGCAAAGTTTCAGGAAATAGGATGGAAAACTGTGCAATGTCATTATAGAGCAAACCTTGCTCTGTAAAGCAATTTATGTAAGCTGGCACTTGTTGGGTTTTTTCTTCTATAAAGTGAGCTAAGTGTTTTGTCGTAAGTGCTGAGAGGCAATAAAACACTAACAAAGACAAAGGTTATAAACAAATCATTCGGTGCCGACAGAGGGGCCGACAAGATGCTGACAAGAAAGAAATCAAGCGTATGAGCCCGGTCGCCTCTGCTGATAAATTTCATTGACTTCTGCACCATGTCATTATGGTGCAGCCTGGCCTGTTATCGCATAGCCCCAAACCTTTCATTATGGCCTCGGATGATAACAGCTGTTGATATGCTGTAGTAGGTCGGAGCGACTCGCGTGGGGGTAAAGGATCATTTTTCTAAGATGTAATAGGGAGAAGGAGGGGGAGGAAAAAAAAAAAAGTGACTGAGTAGCTTTGATCTGCTTTTGTCGTTGTCCTTGCAGAGGGTTATATGCCAGTTGTGCATCTGTTTCCTGGATGAGTTCATGAAGCCTTTATGGCCATACATCTATTCCATAAAGCAATATAACCAGAGGGTCTCGGGCAGAGCAAGTGCTGGGCCTGGACTTTGTCAGACCACTTAGCCAACGCTGTCCAACGTCCACTGCTTCCACAGAAGTGGCAATATCTGGAGCCCTTTGCTGCTGCGACCGCCCCGTCGGCCGCACCACCTCCAGCAGTTCCTGTCTAGCTCAGGTATCAGCTTGCATGCTTAGCAGCAACATAAACATGTCAGTAGCTGTTAGACTGTTGCACAAACCTCAAATAATTAGCAAAAATAAAAGATTAGAACATGAAAGCAGTCCCCAGAACTTGAGTGATCACCTAACTGTGTGAAGCAAGATACAACGCTGGGTACCTTGTAATTCTAAAGCTCTTTAACAAATAAGCATCTCCCCTTATTTTATGCAAGTAAAAAGGTGGATAAGGGAGCCCAAAATAAACTTTTAGCAAAACAGAAGAAAAGTTGTGGGTGTGAGGTATAACCTGATACTGGCATTTACTACTGGAATGCTGGAAAACTGCCAAAGCACCTGCAGGCTTTTTCTTGGCAGGAGTGTGAGTGCTCCTAAGAATGAGTGCTTCGTTTCTTATTAAGATTTGGTAAAAGACTGAGAAGAGGGTATAAGTGGAGTAAAACTGAGATGAGAAGACCAAAAAAGTTTCACTTATAACAGCGTCTGCAAAAATAATGGGAAAAAATCAGTTGTGAGCTACTGTCATTTGGAGGAAATTCACATTCCAACTCTGCTGAGATGGATGAGTTTGAACGTAACACAGCCTTATATGATGAGTGCAGTGAAAGGAGTTGTTTTGTGTGAAGTTCCCATTCCCCTGCTACCATTTTCCATTCTCCTGTTATATTGTCCCGGGATGCTGTTGGGTTTTCTCCTGCAGCGTGAGAAGTGCAGGAGTACGCTGGAGCTTTCTTGTTCTTTGTTTTTATATGGAGGCTTGTGCTAGCAGTGGGTGGAAAAGGTTTGTTATTGTGAGCTTTCTCTTATTGTTGCTTGTGTGTGTGTGTGTTTTTTACATTCTGCAAAAAAAGCAGCAGAGATTAAAACTGCCTCAGAGTAGCCCTGGATCTGTCTTGCATTTACTTCTGGCTCTTTGGCTTCAGAGCATTGCACGTTGCAACTCTGTCTGTCACCTAACTTCCTAAACCTCCTACTCCTGTGTAGCTTCTGACTAAAAAGCCACTCACAAGTAGGGATGCAGTTCCAGTGACTTGTTGCACAAATGCAGTTCATCAGCAGGCGTGGACTACAAGGCGGGCGGATGCCTGGAAAGTAAAATATGGATGCCCTTTTGGCAGATGCCAAGGCAGTCTCTGTGTAGGGTCATTGTTTTTTCATTGTTGTGTTTAAAAAAAAAAAAAAGGCTCTTTTATGATGAGGTATGATGAGGGATGCATTTAATACAGGTATTAATCATCTTCAATTTGTCTTTTAACCTTAGTGAAAGAGTGAATGGTGATTACTGAGCATTATGACTGGGGGGTTGGGGCAGGTATGTTCTTGGTCACACCTCTGTGCTGCCACCATTTCGGTTGGAAAGATGTATTTGAGCATAGACACTCAAGCAGTGCATTTCATGACATTCCTCATAAGGGCATCCAAACTCCAGAGGTCGTCAGATTAATGTCTGATCCAAACCCGCTCTCTTTACTGGTTACATGGAATAAATCTTGTCCAATGCACACTTACTGTAATATTCTGTAATATTTTTTTCTTTATTACTTTGGAATGCATTCCACTTGTAAAAACTTTCACGGTCTACTTGACATTTTTCCCTTCTTGGAGTGTTGTGGGGTGTTGCGTTGCTTTTGGTAGGTTGCCACACCACATTGTCTAACCTTGGGCTAAGGGATTTTATTTATTTTTATTTTGCATTGTTTCAGCTGTTTTCACTTTTCTTTATTGTCTTTCCTCCAGCAGAATTTCTTCATGATTGTGGCAGCCCATTGGGTTTCTTGGTTTATAAGTTGTGATTCGTTAAATAGCCAAGTGGATTCGTTTGCCCTGGATCTGAGAAATTTTAGTACTATAGCAGTAACAGAATACTGGCATTCTGGGGCACTCTAGGGAGTTGCATCTTCCCTCATTTTGGTATGGGTTCAGGAAAGTTATTCTGCAAGGACAAGGGAGACCTAATGCTGTTCAGTTAAATGCAGTGGACGTGAGTGATATCATACTTCTAAAAGTGAGCGTGAACCTTCGCAAGAAGATGTGCCAATGTAATTTGCACAGTTGTATGTGTGCTGAAATTGTTCAGTAACATACATACAGTGAGATTGCCTGTGTTCTACAAACTGCCTTTTTTTCTCCAAATAAGGTTTTTAAAAAGCCTCTTGCAGTGAACCTCTGTTACTTGCGGGCATTGTGCTCTTGATTATATAGGTTTTCTGTTTCTATGACCCCTCTAAGTTACATTCTTCATCCTTTATTTTTCTTTTTTTGTCTTTGAGCAACTTAGATGATCAATTAAGCTGTCATTGTGAATGAAACCTGAATACATTTGTGTATCAGTAGCAAGAGAAATGTTCACTGGCCGATTTAAGGGCTATAACTTAGCATTCAGTCTTTTGTTATTTTTCTTGGTTTCAGAGAACAAATAAGTACTGTTACCTTCATAAAGGAATGTCTGTTCACAGAGGGGCTACTGAAGGGTTTACTGTAATAATAATAATGTGAAACTGCTAGGAAGGAGCTCATCTTGCACAATTAAAGATAGCTCCATTTACCGATTTAGAAAAGGAAGGGAATGTCTAAACCATCCTTGTCATTCCTCTTGTAGGATTACCTTGATTGCATCAGTGACCACTCCAAGCTCTCCCTGGGGCCAGAGGAGCGATCGGCCCTGTTTGGAAATATACGGGACATCTACCATTTCAACAGGTAAATGAGTGTTTGACTAAATGAAAACAGAGGAGCGATGAACCTGTGTTAATGGGGAGAGGGCAAACCGAACAATATACTTATGTCACTTTAATACAGCCAAGGAATATAAATAGGAAAATGGATTTTTTTGTTTTTTCCAGCAGGTTTGGTTTTGAACCTCAGTTAGGCAGTCTTTATTCATCAGTTTGCTTAACTATTGATTTTTATGAATTATGCGTGGTCTTAATCTGCTTTGTTTTCTGTTTCGTGATGATTATTTTCACAAAATTAAGCCTAAGCAGGCATCATTTCATTCTTGCTATATTGGTTACTTTTGAGTGCAGATATGCACTAGTCACTAGTGGCTTTTGTAGTGTTTTAAACTACTAGGGGCTCCTTAAAACAATTTGCTAAATCTCTGTGTTCAGATACCTTTTCATTTATTGAGCACTTTGGTTGCACATCTTTATATCCTCTCTAAAGCTCTATAAATGGGAATCTGGAATTACTGGGAGCTTAAAATAAAATCTGAACTAACTGTACTGGGGCTTGCACTTGTGGACCCCCGCAGATTGGCCCGTGGATCCAAGCACCATCAATTAAAAACTACTTCTAGGAGTTTTCAGCTATATTTATCTTTTTTCCTCATGTGTGACATATTTATCTGTAAATATGGAAAAATATTTGTATTGTTACTCTTCAGCATTAGAACCAAGCAATCCTAGTTATTTTGCGGCACAAAGAGAAGATTGAGAGGGGAATTGATCAATATGTACAAATACCTGAGGGGAGAATGTAAAGAAGGTGGGGCTAAACTATTCTCAGGGGTGGCCAGTGGCAGGGGCAATGGGTATAAATTAAAAACACAGGAAGTTCTATCTCTATGTGAGGAAGAACTTCTTTCCTGTAGGGTGACAGAGCCCTGGAACAGGCTGCCCAGAGAGGTTGTGGAGTCTCTTCTGGAGATCTTCCAAACCTGCCTGGATGCCACCCTGTGCCATGTGCTCTGGGTGTCCCTGCTGGAGGAGGGGGTTGGACTAGATGATCTCTAGAGGTCCCTTCCAACCTCAGCCATTCTGTGAGTCTGAGTCTCTCTCTAGCTTCTACCAGATACTGCAATCCCACACAATCTGGCACTATATGCAGATTTAGGTGTGCTACTGCTATTTTAGGCTTAGTATCCTGTTATAATAATTATTTGCTATCTAAAGAAAACTTCCGACTTTGGGAAGTTCAAGTTTCAAAAGAAGTAAAAAATATTTTCAGTGAATAATCTGGTTCTCCTGTATACAAAAGCATAAGTTTCTGTAATTTAAACTGTTACCTTTTTTTATCTATGAAAATGTTAGAATTACTTATCAAAAAAAAAAAAAAAACCCGAAACTTGAAAATTCTAGTGAATCATTGTGACAAATGCAACGACATAAAGTTTTCATGCCTTCTGTATCCAGCTTGAAAAATACTGTAGCATATTAATGTCAGTTTTTAAGAAGCTCTTAGCTATGCTGTAGTGGACAAAAGATTTCCCATGCTGTTGTATTCTTCAGGGGTCATTAGATTATTTTCATTGAATCTGAAGAGCCTTCTGAAGGAAAGGACTCATCTCAAAGAGTATCTTCATCGATATCTCTTCGTCATGGGATGCTACTTTAAAATGCTTCTGCTTCTGTGGGTCACAGTTCTGTGCCCGTCAGAAAGTGAAGACAGTGTTATCTAAAACTTTTGGGGCAATAATGAAACCTAAAAGCATTTTCCTGAAACCCAAAGCAGCTACTGCACAGTTTGGGATGGTGGTCTGTTAAGCTTATGGGGAGAGCTGCTGAGTCCTCTTTAACTATTAACATCTAACTTGCCTGTGGATATATAGTGTGACGGAAAATGCATTGGATGCTGATGAGGCACCATCAGCTACAGCTTCCCACAGACATAGAACGGAAAAAAGTCCTGACCATTGTGTTTTCTGACCTCTCAAAAGACAGAGAAATAGCAGACTTGGTAGTTAGAACATTATGACAAATACTAGCTAATAAGCATACCAACATACCTTTTAATATGATCAGTGATTGCACAGAAAATTGAGTTGGAAAAAACAAAACAAACAAACAACCCCCCCCCCCCAAAAAAAAAAAAAAACTGCTAAACAAAGCATTTGGGTGCTTAAAGAGATCATGTTAAAATGGTTAAAACACACTAAGATGTTGTCCACAGTTTCTAGTAAATAATTAATATATGTCAGATCTCTTAATTTAAAATTCTGTATGGAAATTGTGAGCTTTTAAGAATGAACACTTTCATTGTAGATCCTAACATAAAGGATAAAGTTCATGGTTGTGTGAAATTTGGTATGTGACTTCTGGGTCCTAAATATACTCTAGAGACTTTTTATTTATTTTTACCTTTGCAAGTGTTCCATCTGGCAGCTTATGTTAGTAGCATGATTTTTATACTTTCCAAATTGCAGTGTTTTTCTCTGCTTTGAATTTGGCTATTAAAATGTCTGTTTATCTGGTGTGTGGATTTTCATGTCTCTGAGTGTTTGGAGAAAGAGGTAGATTTCATTGTGCTATGGAAAGTGGTTTTTTGTGTGTGTACACAATAGATTTTTATCAATGATCATTTAAACTTGTGATTTTTGTGGACTTTATGAATCTTAATATTGCCATTCCAGTAAATGGGAATTTTTCTCAGCTAAGCTAATTTTGAGTTTTAGGTATCAGATCAAATAAAAGAAACGATGATCATGACAGTAACTGCTGGTCTTGTCACTGCAGTCTCTTGTTGGAAAGCTAATTCATAAGACACAAACACTAACTGTATTCATCCCATCTCCATTAATGGGGGAAAAAATTCCGTTGCTTTTAATTTAGTTTGTGAAAAATCTTGTCTTTCCATCTAAGTCAGCGTATGGTGCCTTTCCTTACTGGTCTGTCATGATTCTTTCCAGTATCAATTTAGGATAAGCTCTGCACGTGTGACCAGATAACACAAGTTATCCCAAAATGATGAGTTCTGAGGCGAAATGTGCCTTTTGGTGACAATTAGGTAGTGCCAAGGCTAAATATCTCTGTTTCCGTTTTCCTTTTCTTTGTGGAAATCTGAAGCTTTCAGATTAATTTTCCAAATACTCACTTTAAAAATATTTTGATATGATGGAATTATTCAACCATCGTGACCAAATTGTGCTTGTTCTGTTCCTTTTGTACTTCACTTTGTACTGGGCCATAAGAGGATGATTTTTTTTCAGTAATGCTATTAGTGTTTCTGCTTAGATGCACAGTATTTGGTGATCCTCTGTTTTTGTCCTGTGTTGAGGACAAATAACGTTGTTGAATTCCTGACTCTTTCCGTTCCTTCCATCCCACCAAAATTATTTTCTTATATACCTGTTTTTTGTCTTTCATTTTCTCCAATTCAGATCAAGGAGGAAAAAAACTTTTCTCATGTCTCGTTTTAAAATATTGTAGTGATGATATATGATGAACAGAATGTGCCTCATTTCAACAGTGTATCGGAGATACATATGTTTACCTCATTCTTCTCAATCTCCTGTATTTAACAGCTTGATATGAATTTGCAGTGTGTCACTTCAGAAGTCCTTGCCTACAGGTTGAAGATGATAATTTTGGTTTTCTTCAAAATCAAAAAATCAAAATATCCTCAAACATTAGTGAGACTTTTATCAAGTTAACTTGAAATGCTAATGAGTGCATTGAATGAAAAGTTGTGCATCTTTTTACCATTCAGTTAATATCAATTGTGGTTACATTTGCTGTATCTGCCAACAGTTACTGCTGATTATGGTTGTGCAGATCCAGATTTTTCCAGCCCATAATAGCTCCAGCTGTATAACTCAGTGACGTGGTCTTAAGCAGCCTTGCTGTTTGTGGCATGCTTCAGTCTGAGCTGTTCAGCTGCAAGAGCATTGAGCTCCCCTTCCTCCTGTGCTCTCCCTGCTCAAGCAATTCATGCAAGTGCATCATGGATGCTGGGATGTGTTACTTACTGGTTAACAGTGGAAAACCTCTGGATATTAAGGTGAAGAGAGCTTCCCCTGTCTCTAATGTTTTTACTCCTTCATGCCATTTACTTAGCTGAAGCCTAAAATAATAGACTTGTTCTTTCACATGTCAGCTTGATATTATAGGGATTTATTTAAGCTTTTCAGGATTCCTGAGCATGGCTGATTTGTTTATTGTTACACAGTGGCAAGCTTCTCTTACCAATCCCATTTTTATCAGCCAGATGAGACAGAAGATGCTACAGTGGAGCTAAGAGAACTGTTAAAAGCTCAATATCCCTATGTTATGGTGCTGAAGACACAAACTATTTATTGCATGATGAACTTAACTGCCAGAATATAGATGATTTTTAAATGCAGTATTATTGTATCCTACAAGGGAAAAATAGCATGGTATTAATGGAGACCAGTAGGAAAAAAGCACTAATGGATGCTGTGTATCCTAAGCCATCAGGAGGAATAGCAGGAATCTTCTGGGCCTGTTGAGTGCGTTTGGTCTTCCAAAACTCATATATGGAAAATAGTTAATCATTAAAATTGAGCCTTATGCTCAGCATTGCAACAAATTCTTTCATTGACTGACTTAAAGGAGCTTTATAAATGTGTGGCATCAAACAAGAATCATATTTTCATCCACATATTGGTGAAAGGAGAAATTTGGGTGTGTAGATTATATTATTGCTATCCATATTGGCTTAATGGCTAGTGAACCTGAGTTAGGTCTGTTACACTGTAGTCATTTATTTCTGCCTTTCTCTCCTCCAATAATGAAAGAAGCAAAGAATGAGTCATGAAACTTTTCTGTTTTCCTACTTAAGAAGGACAGTTGTCTCCGCTTAAAAGGAAAAAGGGTAGTTCCCTAGACACTGACTTAGGAAATCTTACGCAGAATTTCACACGAATCTGTGAAATGCGGGGGGAGAAATAGCACTAAACAAAAAATCATCTGATCTAAGAAAGATTCTATAGAGAGCCATTTGGCAGAAAAATCAGTTTCCCTTATTTTAAATCAGTTTTCCTTATTTTTCTAAACGTGTCTTTTGGTAAGACTCTAAAGAATGTTAGAACCAAGGAGAGACCTTTTGAGGTTTTCCTCTCCTGCTTGAATTATCTTTCTTTGAATTTGCCTCCAAGAGTTGAGTTTCATACAATAGTGAACATGTTCTTTTATTGCTTTGCTCCTCTTGTAATGAATTCATTTCCTGCTTGGCATGTCAAAAATATAAAATCCTCTCAGTAGGATTTTATTTTTATGCATGTAGAATTTATAGCTTCCAGAAAACTTTTCCAGACTAATCATTTTCCTCCAGTGAAAAGACCCACTTAAGGTAGACAAGTTTTCCTTGGTGAGCTTATTACCATTCTTCTTCTATGTGTAATACATCTCTGTTTCTCATTTGTGGTTTTCAGACTAGCTCCTCATCTGCCTTGGTTAAGTAAAGCTCCTAGGACAGAGAATGTCATTACAGGGCATGGCATATAGTTCAATATGGTTTTTATATATATCTGTATTTTTTTTTTCTTTTTACTTGGTTGTGCTAGTTGATGTACAAACCCAATAGCTATACAGCTACATCAGTGTGAATATTGTAGAACAGCTGCTGATCTGAAAGAAGGAACCCAGCTTTTCTTAGGAGATCAGCATTGCATGGTGGTTGTGGTGGCTTTAATTTTTCACTATAGAGAGTACCTTTTCTGTAGCGTTCTCATCTCCCTCCAAACAAAAACTAAAAACCAGCCCTATTTCTAGGGGACAGGGACCATCAAAACCAGTGATTATCAGATTTTGTTAGTGTTGAAGGGGGTGAATAGATGGGTATTTCAGTGCTGCGGCTATTATGAAGGCAGAATTTGTTAGAATCAAGCAAGGCATTTATAACGACAGTTTAATGTAGCTTGCATTGTTAGTAGAAAGATTCACAGTTAAGTATTTAAATCACATGTTGTATTGTGAGAACTGGGATTTTTCTGCATATTCAGATAGCTTGACTGTGTATAGGGCAAATTATCTGTCTGGTACACATGAAGATGATACATGACTGTATATCTGAATCTGAATGTCTGACCTGTAAGGAGAAGGAGCACTGGCCGCAGCACTGAATAAAGCTAAAATGTTTTACGTGGGAGGAAATAGCAGAATGTGTGACTCAATTCAGTTTTGACCCTAGCTGAAAATGCCACGAGGACTGTTTACAGAAGCCAGTTTACTGGGGAGAGAGTGGGACCCTGGGGCCTCCAAGGGGTCCTAGTTCCTTCTGTGGGACTTGCTGCAGTGTGTGTGCTTTGGGCATTGCTGCATCGAAGGGTGGAGCTGTGTCTGCCCCGAATATTCTGGTGCATCTGTTCTAAACCATGTCATAATGGACTTTTCTTGCTCTTTGTTTATTAGTGAACTTCTGCAAGATTTGGAAAACTGTGAAAATGACCCTGTGGCTATAGCCGACTGCTTTGTTTCCAAGGTAAGCGACTAGTGCACGAATCTGCAGCATAGTAGCTGTTGCAGAATGGTACAGGAGAATAAGATTATTTTGTTCATTTTTGAGGCTGTAATTTTGTCTTTTTGAATGATTTCAACCAAGAAAAAGATAGAAAATTATGGAAAGTGAAGGGATTTCTTTTAGTAAATTGTAGTGATACAGCTCTAACTTGCATTAAAAAAATCAGTATAAAGGTGTTACATTTCTTGAAGAAATGTAGTCTGAACTGGTGGAGTTAATGATCTAGGGGTCTTTTTTAAGGACTTTTTCTGGAATAGCACAGATTCTTTTTTTTTTTTTTTTTTTTTTTCCCCTCCCAACCCCATCTTTTAATATAGGTCATTTAGTGTCACAGAAGTTATTCTCTACTTTTTAGGTTGACAAGGCATACTGTATAGCTGAATTTTTAGGAAAGGCAATAGTTTTAGCAGATTCGTGGCCAGATTTTCTGAAATTCTGAGGTTCATTTGATAATTCCAGTAATCATATGCTTGTTTAATGTTCTCTTTTAAATGGGGGCAGCCTAAAGTTCAACTTGAAGATTCATATTTCAGTGTCTGAAATTCTGTGATTTTGTTTTTGACTGTTTGTTTTTCTACTGCCTATTTCAGAACCAAGAAACTAGTGAGAGCAAAGTGTGCATGAAACCAAATATAGCGTCTTTCATTGTGGGGCAACTGACAGAGCTGGTCAAGAAGGGGAGTGTTGTCCTAACATGTTATAGCCAAGACATATGGGGTGATTCAAGCTATGGGTGCCTCTAACTCTCTGCAGACTTTACCATAGATCGCATGTTTGCTTTGCATCTGTAAAGGCCAATAGTGTCAAGAAATAATGCCATTTCTGAGGAAGGAAGAGAGGAAAAAGGGGATTAATCACTTTCATTTAGATAATCTGACTATAGATGCACTTGCCTTTAACTTGTTTTTAATAAGTAACCTGTGCCATGTTCTGGGCTTTGTCTTGAGCTCAGTACTGCCAGCACCAAGCCCTCATAAAACAAAAGAATTGGTCTGGTAATTGTTTCTAACACAAAAGATTTAAGATTAACTGAACCACTCTGTTTTGTTCAGCATTGTTGTGAGACAGGGATTTCGTTGGAAAGAAAAGTGTGGATACCAGCTTAGCGCTGCAGTTTTGTTGAATTACTTGCTTGAGTTGAGTTTGAGCAAGCTGTTATTTATCTAGCAACTGATCCTTTGTAAGCATTGAGGGATATTAGCATTGCCACCACTACTGCAAAAGTAAAAAATATTTTTATTGTGCTGCAATGGGGCTTGTGGCGTGTTGTTATCACTCCAAATAACCTATTTTAACTTGGAGGAGAGAGAATGTGACAAAGGAAACTGCGCAGTCCTGCTTCTGCCATGGAATAACCGCAGGTACACACTGGGGCCAGCCCTTTTTGTAGAAAAGGGCTTGAGGGTCCTGAAAGTTGAACGTAAGACCGCAGCGTGCCTATGCAGTGAGGACAACAGTACTTTGGGCTGCATTAGCACAGATGTAGTCACGTGTAGAAAGAACCAATTCCCTCTCCAGCACTTGAGAGACTACATAGGGAATAGCGTGACAAATTTGGGGCTTCTCAGGAGGAAGCATTGATCTAGCAGAGTGAGCCAGCAGGTCAGGGGACTGGAAAATACAGTGCATGATTAAAAACTGATAAAGTATTTGAGCCTGAAGAAGAGAGAGCTGAGGGGAAAAGTTATTACTGTCTGCAATTATCTAATGGGAGGGTATAGAGGAATCAGTCACTCTTCCTGAAGGAGCAAAATGATAAGGTAAGAAGCAGGTGACAGGAGCTACAGCAAGAGAAATTCCAGTTAAATTTAATTATACATTTATATATGTGTGTATACAAATATATATTTTCTTTTTAACCATGAAAGAGTGGTCAAATCCTGGAATAGGTTTCCACAGGAGTTATAAAATCTTGATCCTTGGAGACGCATGAGGCAAGTCCCTCAATATAACCCGACTGACCCCGTTCTGAGCAAGAGGTTAGTCTAGATGACCTTCAGAGGCCATCAACATAACATTACCCTAATATATGATGGCTTTACTGATTAGAGTTTTACATGGGTTTACCAGTAAGGGTTCTCTAGTGTCCCTGAGCTCTGTTAGAGCGGTACCTTGCTATGTAAGTTGTTTCTGTGCTGAAGCCCTTTCTGCAAGGCCTTTAGGATATTTGCAGATGCCATGATTAGGAGCTGTTAGGTCTTATTATGTGTTTGTAGCTACTGGGACTGCACCTAGCTGAAGTAAGAAGCAGCGAGAATGCAAGTAATGACTGCAAGTCTGGTTTTTTTAAAAAAAAAAAAAAAAAAAAAAAGTTATTCATATTGGTCATTTGGAAAGAGTCTCCTGATAAATTTTCTGGCCATTAATTGTAAAATCCATCTGCATATCATTGCCTGTGCTTTTTGTTCCCTGGTCAAATGCTTTTAGCATTTGTATTATTGGCAGGCAACTGTCTGATGGCTCAGAAATTGCTGGAGATTGCAGTCCTAAGAAGCAGCTTTCTAACTTCATCCAGACAAGTGCAAACACTTAAAAGCAAAATCAAACAATACCAAAATACTCCACTGTTCTGTTTTTGGCTGTGGAGATGTCATTACAGTAACTGTTGGCTGTCTTAACAGACTTTGCTTGTCCATTCTTGGTTGCTCATGTCTTCCCAGCATTGAGTAGTGGAAATAAAACTGCCTTTTTTGGCAATATATGATCATTAAATCTGTATGAGACTTTTGCCATCTACTGTTTGATTGCTTTGAGTGTGCTAGATCTTCAAAGTAACTTAAGCACAGGGATAATATAATACTGAAATATCATAACTCACAGCATTAGTTGATTAAAGTAGCTTCACTTGAGTGTTTTTTTTTCTCTCTCTCTTTTTTTTTTTTCCTGCAGAATTCATGTGAAATGACACAAAGCTTGTTTGCATGTATAGCACAGAATAGTTATGGTTAAAGTAACCCCGGAGCTTATTGAAACTGTTTTGGAAATATTTGATGTTCATGAAAACATCTTTTACATCTCATGCTTTTAGTGAGTTTAAATTTTTTAGGTCTAGTACTGGTCTGTATTTGACCAACTGTGTTGTTGAATTTTAATTAATTCCTCGTCTTTGCCAAATAAAATTTGATGTACAGCAGTTTATACTCCTCTGACCCAATCTTGTGTCATTTCTTATGTATAACAAACATCTGAGTAATAAAGACAGACTTGTGGCTTGTACTTGTAAGGGAAATGCAATATGCCAAGGATTATCAAATCACATTAGTGCATTTTGAGCACTCATAATCGTGGGTTTAAATTTTTATCCTAACATTTATTTTGCTGAATGACCAAAGTAAATACCTCCTGAAATGGCAGCTCTTATTTGTTGACTGCAGCGATGTCTTTGATGTGAACCAGCCTGTAACATAAAACTCTGTAAAAGATAATCATGTAAAGTTATGGCACTGAATAAATATATAACAACAACATACAACATTGTATTAAATCCCTTTCCTTCCTTCTAGATCAATAGCTTACAGGCAAATAGACAATTGGTACAGAATATTTTGTTTGTGTCAGACTATGAATTGCTGCCTTTAAGCATCTGCCCAATATGCAGGTAGCATGAATGGATATTTGCTTAAACAGTGTGGGATGGATGCTTCCCTGAAATAACCTGCCACTGAGGGTAGTGATGTACTAGTTTAGTTTCTACCAGCTGTCGTTCTACCTCTGTTAATTAATAAAAACTCTATTAATTTAATACATTAAAGGTTGTGGAGACATTTTGCTGGTAACTGTAATCAGAGGCTGATAAAAAGGGTTCCAGTGCAAGCTCAACTATAGCTTAATTATTCACATAAAAGTTTGTTTATATGTTTTCTTGCCAACTCAAAGGCTTTCATTTTCATTGTAATAATGCCAGTGTTAATTAGAAATTTGAGTTCAGTATTCCACACATTTACATTTAAGCAGGGGTTGTAGAGGAAAGCTTAATTTTGGCAGTTGCTCTTCTCACACAGTACCCTAAAAATTCAGAACATATGTTTTCTGAAACACAAACCAACATTTAAACATAGGGGAGGAGAGAATTGCTTCTAATCTACCATCTTCCTAATAAAAAGGAGATCCAGGCAGTTGGCTTCAGCTTATGCTGTGACTCAGCTTTTGTCTTTTATTTCCTTTTAAAGTGCCTTTTATGGCTATAAAAATGCGCAATGCACCAGGAGTTGAGGGAAGATCAGGGATGTAGCCATGTGTTTGGCATTTCACATCATGTGTAAGAGATACAAAGGGAATTGATTCAAAAATAGAAGACAAGTTAAGTATAGCTGTAGCTAATATAGCTGGTATAATCTTGTGCTTGGCTTTGCTCTTCAGGGTGACTTATAGTCAATGCAGATGAAGTCTTGGCACTGGTGTCAGTTTCTGCACCCTCCGCCGTAACTGCTTTGGGCCCATTTGGAGTGATTCCAGTCTCCCAGTAGAGATCATTTTAAACCTGGTTTGAAGAGAGCTGAAATGACCATAATGACTTTGAAGCTAAGTTAAGGATAAAACTATCCAAAGAAACACTACTGAGCATAGCTAGGGCTTTTCTAACTGTGTGAAAGTATTGACAGCAATGCATGAAATCCATCTCTGTCTTGGCTTTTCTGTTGCTGCTTCTGAACACAGTTCACAGCATTTAGCCTGCAGAGCTTGTGCCCTGGGGCTCCCAGCAGTACAGTGCTCTCTGCGGAATCAGCTGTAAAGTAGGGACAATCAGCTGAGCATGGGAACAAGAAAGTCCCTTCTGTGAATATGCAGAGGTGCCTGGTGGCTGTGCAGTCTGTGAGAGAATGACCATCCTGAGCAGGGTGGCTTGCTCACTGAGTCTTGAGATGGCAGTCAAGTAGTTTGGGGAAGATAAACTATAATGTATACTTTAAATCAGTGGAATGGAATCATTTGTCATCAATCACAATGATAAATATTTATCATCAGTCTTCAATCTTTTTCTTTGACCCGGGTTGTTTTGGGGAACAACTAATTGTTAAATTGGATACGTAAGCTGTGTTTAAAAATAAATCTACACAAAATACACTAAATACTTGTTTGGATTCTACCTGCCCTATTGTTCGGTGTTCCCAAGAGATCAGGGTTCTTTTAAATCATGAAGTACAAATTTACGGATACGCTGCTCCCCTTCCCTATGCTCAGCCCTTGCATGCACATTAATCCTGCTGGGGCCTAAAGAGGATGTGCGGTGCTGATTCATACCAGCTTCTTAAGTTTGAATGAGTCTCAACAATCTTGTTCTAAAGGCAAAATATATGTAATTAACTCTCTACTGGAGCGATGCTCTGTAAAACTAAACACACTCATAGTTTCATGTTTCTAATGAGTTAAGTGTGGTGAAATGAAGCAAGTATGCAGCTAAGGGCAGTTTGATATTTGAGTTGTGTCTCTACAGAAAACAATGTTGTTTGAAAATTTGTTGTTGGTTGAGGACATGAGGAATTTAGTGGTGGGGAGAATATTTTTTTTTCTGGTTAATAGCTAGGCTAAAATTCATTTAAAACAAACAAAAAGTCTCATTTTAAAATAGTTTCAACTTTGGGCCAGAAAAGAAAGAAAAAGTGAAAGAGGTTCTGAAAAAGCTTCTGGGGGTTTCAGACTTGCTGTTGATTTTGTGAGGAATGCAGGCTTAATCCTTTTTGAAAACCTGAAATGTTTGGTCCTGTGTGTGTTGTGTTAGTAGTACTTTCAGTTGTTAAAACTTACCAACAAACTTTTTTTTTTCTTTATCTTGAAACACAGAACAGTCACAGGAGTATGTTTAAGAGAAGAAAAAATATATAGTGTGTCTATTTATATATTTTTATGCACATACATACACAAAAATAGTTACAAAGTTTTTCTGATTCTGAGCTTTGTTTATGAAGTAATTCTATAAATGGCATTGGTCTGTAATTGTAGCTGTGAGAATACATCATAATTTGCACCAAAAGTCCTTTAAACAAAAGCTTTGTTTTATGTGTGTATATAAAACAGGTCACTTTTTTCCCATCACACTGAATGTCATCACAATGTTTGCTCTTTAGCACCCTGATTTACTATGAGTGCTAGGTGCACTGTCTGCAGCAGCCTGAGGTTTGTTGATTCATAGTTTAAGCTGGGATGGTTTTTAGCTGTAGCTCCAAGTCCCAAGCGTGAACATTAATAGGTTATGACACAAGCTCATTGTCTTTGGGTGGGGACCCAGGGTGTATGTAAACCACCATAAAAACTAGCCGTAACAGCAAAATTAGCCCAAGCATGAAAGGCTAAGCATAATTGTTTAACTGTGTTTATATCAGGACTAAATTTAACTGCTTAATTCCTAAAATAGGAGCAGTTTGAAGTGACAGAAAGTTACAGCCCACTAGTGAGTAAATAGGGATTGCAGTTCCCTAGTTTTTTTCCAAGGTTGTTTAATTTTTTATTTATTTATTTATTTATTTTTAAGAATAGTAGATACTAAAATTCTGTTGGAGATACTGAAATGATCTGCAGTATCTTATGCTTATGTTGAGCAGCACCTAATTTAGATGTGATCTTTAAAAATCCCTGCTCATTGGAAAAATGAATGGTGCAACGTGATTTACAAGAAAAGTGCAAAAAGACGAGGAGAGAAGAGAGGACTGTGGGGGGGAATTTGGAAGAGTACTGGCTGAGCTTACTCCATGTGATGAGTAGCCAAAAATCCAGTGATCGTAGACTCTAGCCTGGGCCAGGCCTTTCGCCCGTGATATTGCTCTTCAGAGCATGAAGTGCAGCCATTGTCGCTTTCTGGGAGGACAGATATTGGGGAGTCTCTGTTCATGAGCTGCTACGGAGAAGAAAAAACCCTTATGGAGCAAGGCTGTTGTGGCAGTGGATCAGAATCTGTTTTGAAGCTGCTTCAAGTGGAAAGTGGGTGTGTTTGTTACCAGAGAATTGTTCCCTACCAGTCTAGGGTTCAGGAAAGAAAAATGTAATAGATTCTTGGGAACATTTCACAGTCCAGAAGTAATCCTTAGGACACCAACAAGCTGCAGAAATTGTATATCACTTGGAATAGAAGCTGTTAGATGGGAACTTAAACAGAAGGATATATCCAGGGTTTTACGCAGAATAAAACGGTCATGGTTAAGAATGAAGCTTAGGCTGGAGAAGAAAAAAATGAAGCTCAGATGCTGACTCTGGGAAGCTCATCTTCCCAGTACTAAGTGGGCAACTCGGTTATGACAGACAAGTGTGACAACCCATGTGCATCTAGTTACAAACTATTTTTAGCAGTACCTTTTTGCTTCTGCTGAAAAATCACTTTTGTGGCTTCCAATTTGCATACCTAGGCTGTACTGCAATATGAAAGCACTCACAACAGTTCAAAAATCATATGGTGAGCATATCCTACAAAACTTCTACCAGTCTGCAGGTGTGGGCAACGCAAGGGGTGTTTTTCTGTTTGCTTGTTTTAAGGATGTATGCTTAAGGATGTATCCTTAAAACAAAGTTCTCCAAAATCAGAAAATGAAATTCAGTGAGTTGGTTGATGTTGTGAAGGTTCAGGATCAGAAAATGCAGAAGATATTGTCCTGACATTGTTTTGAACTTTGTCCTTCATGTTAAATCTTTTTATGTAAAGTAAGGAAAAAGCAATAATGCTGTACTATATTAGATACATTTTTCTTATGTCAAATGTGGTCACTGTAATATGGTGTTCAGTTATGAGGTTTTGTTTTGTTTTTCATTCAGATTCGTATCTGATTTTTAAGCTAAATTTCTTGTTGTTTATTACATAAATATGGAAAGGGAATAGGTTGCCTTATCTTCAAGGAAGGCCGTCTCATTTAGTGAGTTTCTGCCTGTTGTGCACACGTAGCTCTTAAGGGATCCACAAAAAGTGATTGAAGAGAATAACTACTGGTAGTGACAACAGTCTCTGAGTGTGAATGTGCTGTACCATGTTTCACTAGAAATTCTCCTCCTTTAAGGAGGGCCTTGTAAATCAGAACAAGTTTAAAAAGTAGAGCTGGACGTAAGTGCGGTTGAAGGGTTTGAGTGGGAATTGAAGATACTGAACAGAACACTAGAGTTGTTTTGTGGTATATCAGAAGATCAGCAAAAGAAGCGTAATAAATGCAGGGAGGAAAAGAAAAGATGTAGGGGAGATTAAAATGAATGATACAGGAATATATAAAACTATCCAGTGTGTTTCTTTTTGTGTGAAAGCTCATAGGAGAGAGAAGGCGGGGGGAAACAACCAACTTTGGCACTTTGGCTAACTCTCCTCAAGGGGACAGGAACTTGAAGTGTGGTAGGTGTTTTAGAGACTGTTTACCTGCGTAGGTAGATAGATGAGAGCCCAGGTATGTGGTCAGGAGGTGGAAAAAGAATTGATAAAAGATGCTTTTGATACATCAGTAGGGGAGAGGTTAGGGGATAATCGGAATAATAGCAACAAAAGTACAGCTAAAGTTCCATTACAAAATGAAAAATATTTGATCCTGAAATTTGTGTATTGTTTTCACAATCTGAATCTTAAAGCCTTCTTCTCCCCCATGCAGAGTGAAGATTTCCACATATATACGCAGTACTGCACCAACTACCCCAGGTAGGAATTCTGAATTCCCTTTTTCCATATGTCTCTTGGCATGCGAGTGTAATGAGTTTAAGCCCATTTGAAAAATATCTCCTCCCCCCTTGCAAACTGGGAGGAGGGAGAGGGAGTTTGCTTTTTTATGCTTAACTTACAATGAAAAGCAAAAGAAAGGAAGATGCTCATCTAAAGGCTTAATTTGATTGTTCTTGTCATTCATTGCCACAATGGTCCTATTCTGCAGTGCTCTCAGTATATAATTTCCACTGGTAAGAAAGAATAGTTGCAAGTCAAAGGAAAATATAATTGCAAGCCCAAGAGAAACCTTGGGGAAAAAGGGGGCGGGAAGGGACAGGATTAGGAACTTGCTGCCCCTTTTACAAGGGAAGAAAGAAACAATTCTTGACTTTGTCTACAGAGTCGTGGAGACAATGTGTCCTAAAGATGTATGTTTGATATTTTCAGGTCAGTAGCTGTGTTAACAGAGTGCATGAGGAACAAGACTTTGGCCAAATTCTTTAGAGAACGACAAGAAGCTCTCCAACACTCTCTGCCCCTGGGCTCCTATCTCTTAAAACCTGTCCAGCGAATCCTCAAATACCACCTACTTTTGCATGTAAGCACCCTTTAGAAATACTTTCTATTAAAGGCTGAAGCAGTCTGATTTTCCTGCCTCTTTTATAAGACTTGGCAGTTGGGACAATTTTGTATTTCCTTCAGACAATCTTTTGTGAATATTCAGTTTTTACATATGGATGCTCTTTGTGTCTTTATCACTTCATAACATATGCATGCATTCTTTGTGGGGGATATATGGCAATTTTTAGATGCATTAAATCAGTCCATCCAAATAATTAGTTCCAAAATGTCCAAATAATTAGACTTCAAAAAAACAGGTCTGTAATTCTAAAGTAGTTTGGGAGATTATTGTCATGAGTAGACAGTTTTGTACAAAAATTCATTGTTCTAATGAAAAACAGTATTTTTCCACATATTGCAATGCTGGAGGTGGTTGAAAGAAGAAATAAATACATATAAACACCCCTGATTGGTAAGATTTTTGTGGAAAGGAATGATTGAGGAAGTGGGAGCTCTGTCCATAGCCAGTGAATTGAGTTAAGCAACAGTTTCAGAAATTCCTGCTTTATTGTTAACGTTTTCCACATGTTTCTTATTACAGAGTCATGTTCTAGCGAAGTGTAAAGACAGTGATCTTTATTTAAAATGTCTGTTGCTTTTTTTTTTCTCTCCAATTCTAATGTAATGCCTAGTGTAATTTCAGCAGTATTTCGTAAGTGTGTAGATGCACTCTGTCTTTCAGAAAACCATTAAATGGTCTCGTTCTTTAAGTGTGCCTTGCTCTTTCTTGCATTTGGGCTCACATCAGCTTCTGGATAACTACTAAACTGACTAAAAAGGCCTTCCTTTGCCAATCATCTTGTGTTTACCAAATTGGTAACAACCTGCAATAGTAAAAAAAAGATAGGAATGACACATTTGTGTGATTTTGTTGTAAAGGCTGTTGCCTTGCATCATAGAGATAAAGGTACACCATCATATCTGATTTGGAAAATTTATTTGGAAGTAATTAGATTTCTTTTTCCTGTCTTAGGAAATAGAAAACCACCTTGATAAGGACACTGATGGCTATGATGTGGTACTAGATGCCATAGATACAATGCAGAGAGTGGCATGGCATATAAATGACATGAAGAGGAAACATGAACATGCCATCAGGCTTCAAGTAAGTTCCCGCAGAGATTTTTACTGGTGTTTCTTTGAGCTATTTCTGTCAATAGATATGCCATCAACATTTTTTAGTTTATCTTTTCTTTTGATCTTTTCTCAGTCATAACTTAGGCTGTTGAGTATGCCTCTGGCTGTTTGATCTTAGAAAGCATGGTCATAGCTACTGAAGGAAAGTCAGAAATCTCTACCCTACAAGCAGCATCCTGTAAAGCATTAATTTTTTCCCGTAATAAGAAGCGTAAGATAACTTTCCTTTCCTCCTTTCCCTCAATTGTACATCGCTGCCATAAAGCCCTAGGGCATGTCTGTTGAAATCCTGTGGTTTTCTATTTCTTCCTCTTGCACTGATTAATTTTGTTTTGAGACATTTCTTGTGCTTCTGCTTGTTCAACTACCTTCCTCTTTGGCTGCTGAAAGCTCAATATTAGTTGCTTTATGAAAAACATAAATCTAGGTAAACGCTATTTAGAGACAGGCTAACTTCACTTCAACTGAAGGAACTTTTGAGGAAAAAGCAAAAGCTATTCTGAGTAACTTTTGTCATCAAGAACAAGCAATTCTGTAGAAATATTGCAGACTATAAGTCTGTTTCAAACTTCACATTACAGCAACAGTCTTTTTGTTGCTTTAAGAAAAAAATGGTATTTTTAGTATGTAAAAAAGGAGCAAGTAACCGACTTGCACAGTTTCTAAAATCTGACATGTTTGTTCCTTTATTTCTTTTTAACATGAATGGTGTGAATTTGCCCTCATTCTTTTGTTTATATGTAGGAGAACAGGGTCATACTTGATAAAGTCTTGCCAGCAACAGTGTAAGCTTTGCCATGTATTACTGGACATGCATACTAATGCCATTTACAAACAGTTTGCTATCAATCTGAATAATCATGGCCAGTAATATTTAGCGATAAAGAGGATCAAAGATGTTTCCTCAGTAAATTACAAGATTCATTTATTTCAGAGCTGGCAAATATGTGGAGTTGCGGAAAATATTTATGTTCGTGGTTATTCCTTTTAACAGTAGAACCTGTTTCTGCAGTCATAAGGCTAGGTCTTCTGTGAGCTATCATGCTGCCATTTGCCTGTAATTCTGCAAGAATTGTGGCAGCAGTTCGTGCTCAGTCTTGCTCAAATTGGTCAATCAATCATTGCACTGTATGTTTACTTATTTACAAGTTACTGGAGAGATCTGATGAAATACTACTTTTTCCATTCTCTATATTTATTCTTTTTATAGCAGTTTCATATATAGTCCAAAGTATGCTTGTATGCATTTTTTTCCAATGTGCATTTTATGCTTCAAATACACTGACGAGTTTTTGTAATTGAATGTGATATTAAACAGTCACATCCTAGAGAAAGCAGTTTAGGACATGGAAATTTGGCCCTGCTTTTTTTGCCAGTGCTGCCAGGTAAATGTCAGAGGGCATTTTTAAAGATTGCTGGATTCAAGGTTCAGTCTGCTTAGAGCTTGCTGCATCATACATAAACCGTATGTCTGTGCCAGGGACAGAAAGAACAACTAACTGAAGGAACAAAAATAGTCATAACAAAGTAACAGATTTGTGAAGTTCCTTCATGTTTCTGCAGCCTTTTTAAGGTGAGAAATATCTATGGTATGTGTGGTTTTTATTTAAAAAAAAATAAATAAAAATTAAAAAAAATAAAAGAGAGAGAGAAATTAGCAGTGCAAATAAATCTTGGCCTCATCAAATGATCAGATTATCTCTTCCGAGCACCTCCCAGAGACGACATCTTTGATGGGTCTACAAGACACGGAGTTAGGATTAAAATTTGCCTAGTTGATGATTGCACAACTTTGGGAGAGAGGGAGGGAAATAGTAAGAAGGTTTCCTGAGGAACAAGCATGGGAGAGAGGAAGAGGCAGGCATGAGATGGATGGCTGACTTGGAGACAGTTCTTATCACTCAAAGTCAAGGGACATGGACTTGTGCTGCTTCTGCGTACGCAGCTCTGAGGACCGCAGTGTTGTTTGCTGAGTCTACACAGAAGTAACCAGAATATGGTTAGGAGGATATGTTAGTCTGGGCTTAGCACTGGTCCTGGAGGCACCTGGCTGCAGTGTTTGTACCATACCTAGCAACCTCAGTACCTTTGAGGTGTGACTTTGTGCCATTTACCATTGCTGACCTTTATGTGGTGACTGTATGTTGTTGACCAATGCTGACCACTATATGGCAGACTTGGAATGACCGCAGTAGGCTGGTTTTTTGAAACTACATTTACGTAAAGATGATGTCTGGAACAAACTTTAGTTGTTGTTCTTCATAATCTGTTGCAGGAGATACAGAGTTTACTCACTAACTGGAAAGGTCCAGACCTCACGAGTTACGGGGAGCTGGTGCTGGAAGGAACATTCCGCATCCAGCGAGCCAAAAATGAGCGCACGTTGTTCCTCTTTGACAAGCTGCTACTTATTACAAAGAAGAGAGAAGAGATGTTTACATACAAAGCTCACATATTGGTATGTCAGAAAGTAAGTTGTAATTAGGCTGTCTCCAGATCTCCTTGAAACCTCTCCATGACTTGTGTTTTTGCCTCTGTTACAGTGTGGGAATCTTATGCTTGTTGAAGTGATACCAAAGGAACCACTTAGCTTCAGTGTCTTCCACTACAAAAATCCCAAGATGCAGCATACTGTCCAGGTAGGATAGACTTCCCTGCCCTGAGGATAAGCTGGTGGCCATGTGTCATTCCTGACCCAGGATGTTGTAGTAATGCATTTCCTCATATTGCTGCAATTTTTAACAGGCAAAGTCACAGCAAGAAAAACGCCTTTGGATTCTTCACTTGAAGAGATTAATTCTAGAAAACCATCCTGCTAAAATTCCTGCCAAGGTAATTAAAAAAAAAAAAAGTGTACCACCTTGAAAATATATATATATGTATATATAAATCCAGATGGTATTATGGGGTGCAAGATTTCAGGGGATCTCTTCAGTGATTGATCAATAAATTGTTTATTATGTCTTCAAAAGTTCTTTAGAATTAATGGTAAAGTTCTATCAAAAACTCCTAGTGCTGGAAGTTGGTATGGAAAAAGAATTTGTGTGTGTTATCAGCATCTCTGTTCATTAGCATTTGTCCCCTGTAATAAGAATCACTGAGATGCATCTCCATAAAACTTTAGTATAAGAACCAACCTTGCCTTGAAGCTGCCTGCCTGCACACCACTGAGATGTAGCAATTACAGCATGCATAGATGTTGCTAACCTGGTTTTAATGCAGCTTGGATCCATAGCAGTGAAGCCTCTGGCAGCTCACGCTTCATTCTCCAAGTGCACACATCCGTGCTGAACCTCCGGCACTTAGCTGGGACACCCAGTCCCTTTCTGTGAGATAGCGAGGAAACGTAGAAAATGAGTCATGGCTGTGAATTTCATAACAATTTTCAGATACCTGCTAGGAGCTCAGTTACCTGCTACTATCGTATTCATAGCTATTATGTCTAGCATATTAAAAAAAAAAAAAAGGTAGTAATCCATCTTGGGCCTCTCAGTGACATTTCCCATTGGAATTCACTGAACCTCTGGTATGACAAGTCACTCGCAAACTCCTGCTGTGACACAGCTGCCACTGATCCATGTGGAAACAGGATTTTTTTCTGGCTTTGTGCTAACTTTCCTTAACACTTCTTTTTATGTTGTAATAGCTGAAGTAGCTGTCACTGACATGGGCAATGGAATATTGAGTATAGTATTTTCAACAGTTCAACGATGGTTATGTAAGAAAAAAGTGCTAGCAGCAGCTATTAGTAATTCTTTCTTGTGGTCTTGTGTCATCAGATTTTATTAGCAGTGCAATATTTATGTAGCATCCACTTTTACTGTATAAATACTTGTTTTTTATTAGATTGTAGTAGGAATTACTATAGTATGAATTCATTTTTTTATGAAGGTTCTCTTCTCAATATATTTAAAGTATGAAAAAAAATGTATAACCAAATATATCATAATGCTGTTTGCAGCTTGGAAAAAAAAAGAAATCATCTGATTTAAGAACAGAAAAGCTTCATCAAATCATTAAAGATGTCCACACATGTATTTTGACAAACTAGTAATAGTCTTGGTACTTCAGCCCAGGGTTTGGGGATTTAATGGTAGTCCACATGCTCCACCCAGAGGAAAACTATTGAATTGCACCTGCAGAAAGGCAAGCAGCTTCTCTAAGCTATTTCATTTTGCATTGTTTTCTTTCTTATTGGCTGATATGGCTGATAAGGAAAAATAAGTGGGAAGTCTTAATAAATGTGTTAAGCAATCATGATGATTTTTCAGGCTAAATCTTATGCAAACAGAACTTTTTAAAAATAATTCTTCCTCAGGAAAGCTCTTAAAGAAACCATTGCTTCCCTGTGATAAATTTTTCTGTACTAAAAATAATAATAATAATAATAATAATTTGGAGGGTTCTGGTGTGTAGCAAACCTTATTTTAGAATTGAAAAATAAGAAGGGAGTTAAGCTATGTGGTTTTCAGGAAATATTCCATGAATTACAAATAAATTTCTTGAAAAGTATTTGTGATTCCCAGAAAGTAAGGCCGATTTGGTGTAAATCCCAGCTCAATTTGGGCTTTCAGATGGCTCTAAATTCTGGGCCTGGGTGTGAGTTCTCTGGAGATTTACGTCCCTGTAGAGGAGAAGCAGAGCATGCAGCATCATCTCGGCACAGCCCCTCATTTTCTCAGAGTCAGCGATCTCCGTCACTCCATCCTCTAAACATTTCCCAGCCCCAGCTGCATGTTCCTCCCTATGCCAGAATGGTAGTGGGTAAGCAAGGGAGAGCTGTCAGCTTCATTGTAGGCAGTGAAGAAGAGATGATGTCCTTAAGTTAACTCTAGTAGACCCTTACATGCAAGATTCTTATCCACACGTGTGTGCGTGGTACGCAAAAAGGGACAAAAAATGACACTAACAGAGTTTGTTAATTCAAAAATTAAACTTGGTTTTGTCTGTATTTATAAACTGCTTGCTATCTGTGATGTGCAACATAATTTGCCCTTCTAGGTTTTGTTTAAGTCCTTCATATGCTTTATTTATTTCTTTATTTTTTATGTTTCAGGCCAAACAAGCAATTTTAGAAATGGATGCCATACGTAAGTGTTTTTTTTTTTTCCCACCACTCATTTAAAAACAACAAAAATTGTCTTTAACACTTCATGTATAGCTGCTGTTTTCCTATAAGATGCAAGAAGCCCATGCTTATGTTATTTGAATTGTGATGTTGCCAGGAAAAAAAAAAAGTAATTGTGTGCAGATCCTATGGAACTCTAAGCATTGGGCTGACTGGTCTGCAACCAACAGGATGTGTCTCACGGTCAGCAAGGAAGAGGCAGATTAGACCATTTGTAAACACTGAGCATTTTGTTTGCTCATTCCATGCTGACTAAACATATGATGTTCCCAATCTCTGCAGCAAAAGCTCTTGTGTGCAAGATAGGAATAAGTAATGCAGCTTGAAGCATTGAGCATTTTTACAACTTCCTGAAGCTGGAGCCTTCAGCTACCTCTATCACTAATTAGGTGTGGGAGCTGAACTCTTGGCTCTGACAGAAAGCAACAGCACCTAAGGAATAATCCCAAGAAAACTCCATTTTGAGACCCATCGGGCTTGTGGTTGCCATAAGCCTGATGAGTCTGTGTGTCCTAGTGCTGGATTTGGAAGGCCTGCATGATGGTGCTGTCTTGCATCTGAATCCAGCCCCTCCTGCAGGACTTAGCCCTTCTGTTCAGTCTGTGGCTTGATATCTTACTTGGTGCTTGCCATACTAGCCCTTCCTATTGCCAGCAATCCATGGTAGTGCAGGGAAATGAGAACCACCTTATAATATGAATGCTGAAGAAGGCTCAGAGTAAAGCAAGACTGTTATTTACATAGTTATCATCCCAGAGAATGGGTCGGGAAGACTGAGAAACTGGGTAACAATTTAATGTGATTGGGCATAAATGTTGCTGGGTTAGCAGTCCCAAGCAAGGCATGAGTGAAGTGTTTTCACAGCCAACGGGTAACACCCTACAAAAAGCTACTCACTTACTCTGCACTGGGCTTTGCTGAAGTGCCTCCATGTGAGTCATAACGGGAAGGTGGCACAGCCTCCAAAATCCTGCTGAGCTGTGTGAAATAACACCCTGCTTTACACCGATGCCTCTGCTTGTCTCACAGATCATCCAGGCTTCCATTATAGCCCGGAGGGAGAAACGAAATCATTGTACCATCCTAAGGAAGGCACTACTCCGCACCGAGTGAGAAGGAAATCAGGTGCGTAAACCCTTTTTGATCAAAATGACAAGAGAAAAATTAGCAGGGCTTGGTTAGGCTTGAGTACATGGAATTGGTCCTTACCCTGCATTCTGCTCACATTTTGTGGACCATGATACAGTTATTAAATCTTGTCAAGTTATTTGTGTGATTTTATATAGTGTTTGAATTTCACTCCCTGGGTGTACACTCCTAATGGAGGGTGTATAGAAACTTGGTATTTCCTGATAGATAGAGTGCAAAGCAATCCACTTTGTTTAAATCTGACTTGTTTCTCCTGAGTAATTACTATCACAGAAGTGCTTCCATCGTAATTACTGTAAAACATGTTTACTATCTCTGTTTACTGTAGTGTCTGCCTTAAGAAAAATAGAGATTTGACAGGTGGGAATGCTGACTATCTATTGTCTAGCTCTAACAGACGTAACTACAATTATTTCCTCTCCTGAAGCCATTACAAATGTCTGTGTAGTTGGAGTGACTTTGTGTTGCAGTCTTTGTCCCCTTTTCAACTATTTTACATGTGTTGTTTGTGTAGAATGCTTTAAGGTTCATGAGAGCACAGATGGAGTGGTTTATCATAAAGGAGAGTTTGTCTGTGAAAAGCAATTAGGTTTTAATCAGTCATTTTCTCTGTGTTTCTAAGAAAAAAGATTATTAGCTGTGTTTTGCCTGTAAAAAGAATATCACAAAATATTGAGCGGCCTCCTCTGTAGCATTGGGTTACTTAACCTCTTAAGGTTATGCTAAGATGACAGTACCTCATGCATTCCTAATCTGAATATAGGAAATCTCCAGAAAATTAAATCAATGACTTAGATGAGGACTGAGTCTTTAAGAGAATCTTTGCATGAGATTAAAATTTACCTACATGGTTGTATGCGTATGCAGGGAAATATACATCTGTTAGACACATATGCACCTTGGGAAGAGTTGTATTAAGCTCTTTTTTCCAAGGAACTGAGGAAACTAGTTGATTGAGAAGTGTAAATTCTGCTGTCCTTCATGGGCTCAGGAGTTTAAATTTTGTTATTAAATGCCATTAAAAGTTGGCCAAGATACCAGTAACTTTCTTTGGGAGACTGTAATGTTTAAACACTGTTGTCTTTTTCAGAACCCTCATCTAGAGGCCATAAAGTTTTGAAGTCAAATGGTAAGTTATTTTTCTTACTCTTCTGTTGTCCAAGTACTTATATGTTTTGCAAAACAAGCAAGTATGGATCATCTTCTCCAGTGACTTTATCTAATTCAATCATGTTTAGTGGGACTATGCTGACTACTTGTAGAATGTAATACCAAATGCATATTTGGTGGGAGAAAAAGATGTTTGCATTTCCACAGTTGGGTTCTGATCTTGTAAACCTCCTAGAACCTGGTAACTGAACACAAAATGTTTTAGTTATGGTAGGTAGTTACCCATACTACATAGGTGTGGCAAAATCACATCTTTAGGGGTAATCCTCAAAGCCAATGTTGTCTGTTTTTATCAGAGACCCATGAATGTTGCAATTGCATTTAATTCCTTTTGGAGTATTCACGATTGGGTTGTTAATGGAACATTGGAGCAGTGACATAAGCTCACACCAGTTAGAATACTCATTTATGATGTGTTTGTGCTTTCAGATATAAACCCAGATATGCAGAAGGTAAGCCTTTTTTTGCATTTTGTGTTCTACATTCAAATGGTCCATGACTTAATTCTCTTTTTTAAGAAAGGGAAACAAAAACATGTGTTGTTTAAAGTCTTCAATAAGATTATTGAAATAAAAGCAATATAAATACAGCTAACTTTCAGCAATATCTAAAAAGGATAAATTGACTAATCTGTTTATTCCCTTACTTCATAATACAGCACAATTAATCCCTAATATTATAGGATACTTAGAATTTCTGTGCCAGTAGCTGCATTTTTATGTAAAGATAGCTTTTATTCTTTGGAAGATAACTTGTATTTATTAAATGAGAATGGGAGTTTCAGCTTATTCTGATCAATCTATCTAAATATATATATATATATATAAATGCAATATGTAAAAACATATGCAATAAAATATAAGAAACTAAGCAGAGCCAATGCAGCTTAAGCAGACTAAGTTGAACACTTTTAACTTCTGTCTCTTCTGGAAGAAAATTTAGTGGAGTTCCAATACATTTTGGTAGATTCGTACTGGATTTGGGGGCTTAAACTTAGGATAGAACTTAAGACAAGGAGAATATGTGACTTCGTGACATGTGACTTCACTAGGATGCCGTAACACTGAAGCCGATAGGTTCCTCACCTTCTCCTTTTTCCAGCTCTTGAAGCTCCATGGAAAAATACTTTGTTTTAATTCTTTACAGATATGTTTTATTTAGTGCAGCTAACAATGTAGCTCAAACTGTGCTTTGGGAATTTGGTAGCTATGACTTTGTTTGACATAGCCATGACTTAAGTTTGACATGGACCTGTACAATGGTCCATGTGGGTAATCTTTAATCAATGTTGTTTCCAAGCGGATCAGTATCGAAGGAGCCCTCTTATCTCAAACTGCCAAACTGGGATCAAATGAAACCCTACTAAGTTCAAGAAAGAAGGGTTCACTGGAACCCAGTGGGCTAGAGAACCAGTTTCGAGAGTCCACCGAGCCATCCTACGTCAGTGATCAAGATGAAAATCTCCACACTTCTGCTGCAGAACAGATTGATGCTGATGATGAAGAAGAGTCTGAACAGGTAAACAAATAAATACCTAAACCTTCCATCCTTGGGAGGATGGAAGAGGGATTAATTTTATCTGTAACATGGCAAGGAGATAGGAAGATGTTATAAGAAAACTGTTTGCTGCCTCTCCTTACAGATGTGTTATTTGTTCATGTTAGTTTTCTCTTGTATTGTAATAAAGGTAAAGTGAAATTAGCTTATTTGCAGGGGATGAGAGTAGTATTTCAGCAGTAGACATTTCAATTTTGCTTAGTCCTTTATAGAACTCCAGTCTACTTTTGACAGAAAGCAGTAACTTTATCATTCTCAACCAATTGCACAATTGAATTTTCCTTGCCCTTCCAGCTGATGTTCTGAAAGAAACTAGGCCCTTTCTAGGTCAAATGCAGAGACAAGGTTTTTGGGTCTCAAAAGCAGTGACCCTGAACATTGGGTTAAGATTCAGATGTTTCTAAAAGTAAGAATCTTAATCGTTTACTATTGCACAGTCATTGAACAGGTGGTAGTTTTCCTCACTCTGCATGTTGCTTCCCCACATATATGCTACTTCTGAAATGCTAAAATTTGCTTTGAAATGTGGGTGTATTAAAGAATCCAGATCTGCAATTTGTTTTGTTTAGTATATGCCCAACACAGTATATAAACACTCAGCTGTTTGAGATGTTGGTGTGAGCATCTGAATACAGGGTTTGGACATCCTCCTCTAGTCTATCTGTTTTGTAAGATGCCCAAAATCTATCAGTGAATTTCTTCTTGAAGCACGCTTTACCCTTCCTCTTTGAAATTATGTTATTTGAATTGTAAATCTTTGAAGAAATATCTTTTATCAGTGAAGTCTACTGTCTTGTGATTTACCCTCTTCTGGGCATGAAGCAATACAAAAAAAAGCCACTCAATCTGTACAAGCGTAGCTTAGCATTTTACTGTACATGTGCTGATGATGCATTCTTAGATTAGGAACCATCTAGCCCTGTTCCTGTCAGGCATGCTGTCCTCTGAATCACATCCCCCACTGACCAGTGTAGTGTTTTGGCTTTGTGTTTTTCTGGGAAGCTAGATGACATCGTATCTTCTTTTTTAGACCTCTTCTTAGTTTTCAAGACTCCAAAACTCTATGCATCTGATAAGCTCGTTTTACTAGCAAAGACAGTAAACTTCCACTTCCTTCCAAAAATTATGCTTTAAGAAAGTTTAAACCTGGGCCAATGATATTATGCACCAAGAGGTAAAGTTCCAACTCCATTTGAGGAAGAACTTCTTTACTGGGAGGGTGCCAGAGCTCCGGAACAGGCTGCCCAGAGAGGTTGTGGAGTTTCCTTCTCTGGAGATCTTCCAAACCCACCTGGATGCCACCCTGTGCCATGTGCTCTAGGTGTCCCTGCTGGAGCAGGGGGGTTGGGCTGGAGGACTTCTAGAGGTCCCTTTCAACCTCAACCATTCTGTGAGTGTGTAAATGGTGGCAAATCCATCCCCTTCCCTCATTAAAACCAGACAAAAAAACCTTTAAAATTTGATTTTTATTTTCTGTGATTGGCTTTTGCTAAAGCTTATTTTCTATGTATAAGTCATTGCACACAGATTCTGCTTTCTTTCCCTTTTGATAAGCTGTATGGATTGACTTGGTTAACGCGTATTTACAATAGCAAGTTTACAGATGCTCTAAATCACTGTTGTAGTAGTGCTCACTAGTCTTTCATTCTTTGTGTGAAGACCTGACCTGGCTCTGCTCTTCCAGCAGCTGGTAATTCTTTCGAACAAATCAGTACAAAGAACCATAGATTTTAATATCCTTCCCTTGGCTTGTTCTTCTAAATCACAGGGAGCCCAACAAAATTCATCACAGAAAGCAAAAGGAGGACGGAAAAGACTTAACAGTCAAGCTGCAGAAAATGTTGAAAAACGGAGAAGTGTTAATCTCAACAAATGTGAAATGCAGGTACTTTTTTTTTCCCTCCTTCCCTCTTGCTCTTCATCAAAGATATGTCAAAGAAGTTTTGTTTTGTTTTGTTTTTCTGGGCAGAAAGACAAGGCAATTTTGATTTCTGTCATAAATTAATACTTGTATATTTGAGGTATTTGGTTATATATACTTCAAAGAATATTCTTTTGGAGGTGGAGGGAGGAAGATCCAAAAAAAATTATTAGGCTAAGCCAAAGAGACAGTTCTTTTCTCTTTCTCAACTTCTGGCCATGTACCTCTACAGCATCTTTCATGTTACCATTTACAGGCATGCAGCCTTGCTGTATGTTAGATCTGCTGGCTGAGCCAGACAAAACTTACTCCAAAAAGAAAATCAGATTTTCAATGGCATATACTAGAGGGTGCAACATAGCTTTCTGCTTGGTAGGCAAAGGGCGAGAGAGTAGAACAAAAATTTTTGGCAGGAGCTTGGAGTCAGATTAGCTTAAACCAACTGTGAAACAGCAGAGTTAGCCTTGCCAAATAAATTTGATTTTAATTATTCATGCTTTAGCATGAGCTAGCATCTTTTGAAGTAACGTTATTAAAAGCCAAATGTCAGTTCTGAGCAATGGTAAGGGCTGGGAGGCACAGAAGTCTGGCACTGCCACCTTGGTTCCTTGGCTTGCCAACAAAGAGCCTTCCCACCCGTCTCTGCCAGCCTCAGTGTTGCAGAGCACCAAATTATTATGGCATTTCTGTGAATGGTGGGAATCCTTACGTTATTGCAGAGAATAGGCTAACAGTACCTGTATGTTTCTAATCTCTGCAGAGCTCCAAAGATCCTTCAGATGAAGAGTCGACACAACCAAGTACTGATCTTTCCTATTCCTGCTCAGCTAGACAGTTGCCTAGACAACTTAGCACCCCCCAGAGCAACTCATTAATCATGAATATTTTGGGGGGCACTACCTCTGTCAGAAACATCTGGACTGATCATCAGATCAGGCAGGCATTGTTTCCCAGCAGGCGACCACCTTATGAGAATGAAGATGATGAAGATGATTACCAGATGTTTGTACCATCAGCGTCCACGTCCAACTCCAGCTCAGTTGTTGGTGGAGAAAGGAGGGGTCTTTCTGGTCGACCATGCAGTTGGCATTTGGGGGTGGGGCATCAAAACGAGGCTTCCAGCTCCAACCGCCATAAAGTCGTTAGACGGGCCAGTAGTGCTGGTGAAAGCAACACATGTCCAAGCAGTGCAAGGTGCAAAACTGGTGACCTTGGCCAGCGCAGTTCTCGAAGAGAATTGAAAAGAACAGAGATGAGCAGTATGAATGCTTATCTGGAATCTTCAGAAGAGCTGACCGTTGATGATATTGAACATGTTTATGATAATATAAGCTATGAAGACTTGAAGCTGATGGGCCTGACCAGAAGGGAGGAAGCAGACCATGCCCCTCAGAGATCTGCTCGAGATTCCCTCTATGAGGCTGAAAACAAGCGCAACTCAGATTCACCCTCCAAAAAGAGGACAGCAAATCAAAGCAGGGCCTCCAGTCATGCTAGTAGAGATGAAGTCTTACTTAGTAGAGAAGCACCTGCTTCAAGTTTGGATGAGCTCAGGATTGTTGAAGATAACATCTATGACACCATAGTGCTTCCCGAAACACCTCTATTGAATTTTAAATGTAAACCTCTAAAATCCTCCAAAAGGAGGAGTTTTCTGGGCCTGGAAACAGACTTTGTGTGCTGTGACAACTTACGGCAGTTTGTTTCTGAAGAGAGTCTCCAGTTCAGCGAAGATGAAAGTCCTTACCACCGTGTTCCTCTTGACAATGACTATCTGAGCTTAGTGGACAGCTCCTCCAACTCCGATTCACTCTCCCATAAGTCTGCAGCAGATAAACTCTCAGAGGAAGTAGATGAAATCTGGAATGACCTGGAGAACTACATCAAGAAGAATGAAGAAAAGACAAGGGACCGTCACCTTGCAGCCTTTCCTGTTTGTAAAGATGATATTCAGGAAAGATTGCATGCTGGCAGTACACCTGAGCTGAGCAAAGATGTAGAATACTCGTTGTCTACTCTCTCTCTGCCGGAAACTCCTATTTTCCCTAAAGCTTTGAAGCCCCGGGCAGCCACCGTGAGTGAGGCTAATCTCAGGCTTGAAGACACTACTCTGTGCAAGGACAGCTCTTTTATGAGTCTGAGCAGATCGTCCTTCTCCAGTGAGAGGCCTTTTGTAGACAGCCCGTATGAATCTGCCAATAGCGTTCTTTCCAATGCGCATACAGAGGGCATGGAAAACGATTCGGATATTGTGGATAAGACAAAGAACAGAGTTTTCCTGATGGCAAGACAATACAGTCAGAAGATTAAGAAGGCTAACCAGCTTCTGAAAGTTAAAAGTCCAGAGCAGGAACAGCCAGCTACCCGACAACAGAAACTTAAACACAAGGATCTTGCTGCCATACTGGAAGAAAAGAAACAAGGTGGTCCAGCTATAGGTATGTTAAAGACATAGAGGACATAGAGGAACAGACATATGTTGTATATTGATATTGCATTTTCTTTGTTATTGCTGAGAGGAGTTTTCTGTGAAAAAACATCTCAGTGAATTCCTGCCATTAGTTGATAAAATTCAGAAGAAAGAGTCAGCTTAGTTTGGAAATAGAGATGATGCCTGAAGCACCATTGTCCTCTTCACAGAAAAGCCTTTGTTTTATCATATAGTGTGATATCCAGAATTTGACTGAAAAGGTGCATTTTTAGTTAGGCGTACCTGCTAACCAGCAGTATAGATTTGCTCAGATACCATCCACATCACACTTGTAAGCATGAGACATAGGATCAGCTAAGAAGGAGCTGGGGTTTTTTTTATTCCTTTAGATGAAAATGTGAGGTGATAGCTCCAAAGCCTTAAGTTTCTATTTCTGCCCGTAGTCAGCTGAAACACATAACAGATGCAGGGGCACCAGACCGCACCACGTAGCCTGTCATTCTTGCTTTCTTGTGAGATTTATGTTTTCAAAAGTTTGTTAATATCTTATTAACCAGGCTGTTTTCAGAATGTTCTCTTTCACTTTAATGTGAAACAGAGTACCTTACCAGAACTGTTACAATGTGTTCTACTAACCTGCAAATACTTTGTTGCAGTCACGTGTGTATTAAATATGTTAAAGCACTGTATCATAGTAGCAGAATTTCTCATGAATTAAGCAGAAAGAAATTCCAAAATTTAGCATTTGAATGTTTCTCATAATGCAGACATTTAACCAAGTTTGAGAGGCCCCTAAAAACCTTCTGACTGTTTCCTGGCTAACCAGTTTTCACAGAAAATTATTTTGGGCTTCTTTATCTTTTCTGGAAAAGCCGAGGGGTGCATTTCCTTGAATTAGTGTGACCTGGAGGCAGCTGGGAACCTGCTCCCTCTGGCCTCTTTCAGAGGCATAGGCCTGTCTCCTATTTCCAGCGCTTCCGCAGGATGTCCACTTCCTTTTTCCTCTCTCGGTTCTATTATCAGTCCTAGTGCTCCTATTCCTTTTCCTCTCTTTTGTTATTGCTTCTTTCTTATTGCCTTCTCTCTCTTTTTTGAGAGTGGGCTCTCTGAGAGCAGTTTCCCTGCCTAGGAAAGCCAAGTATGGAAATACACACACTCCTGTTTTTATGTCTCTTAGTTGTTGATTCTGAGGCTCTGAAACTCCTGGGGGCAAGGAGGGAAGGGAAAGGGAAGAGAGATCAAGTAGGTCATTGCACTTCCCGCCTTTTTCCAGTGTAAAGATAACACTTTTGAGATAGATAAGTCACCTTCCTCCTCTCTTTTTTTCACATGCTTTTCTGTGGTAAGCCAAAAGGATTTTATCTCAGTATGACCAGGAGGAAAGACAACCTTCAAGATAGCAAATAGACTGCAATGACAAGTATGTTAGGGATAGTCTGTTCAAATAAAACTAGTGGATACAATAAGCAGACCTACAAACACAGCAGACCTACAAACGCAGTGTTGGAAACGCCTCAGGAGATCATCTAGTCTCCTTTTCCAGGGCAAAATAATTGTGCCTGTGTCATATATGTTGTAGGATTTAGATGGATGAAATACTTGTCTAAGATGAAAATCTAATACTGAAACAAAAACAACTTTATATAGTAAGTTTTTATTCATATTTTATTCATATTTTATTTTCTTCCATATGATGGTATTGCTGTTGTCATGTTACTTTCTGAGTTTATGATTCAGAATCATTTACCATTGCAAGATATAATAATATTTTATGCTTCTTGGGTTTTTTGTTTTGTTTTTCATTTAATTTGCGTGGATTATTTGCCTTTGGTAAGCTAAATCTCTCTCTTTTCTAGGTGCCAGAATTGCTGAATATTCACAGCTCTATGACCAGGTTGTCTTTAGGGAAAGCCCGAAGATCCAAAAGGAAACCTGCTGCAGTCCTCAGGAGCCTTCAGCCTCAAGGTATTCCACACCCGTGGCTGCACCTGCTTCCCGTTCCCAGTTAGGCAGTGAGTGCTCAAGAGCAGAGGATTGGCTTTTGCATTCTACGTACAGTAACGGAGAGCTGGCTGACTTTTCTCCATGGCCTGAAGAATCCCGAGACCTGAAGACCAAGAGCTCATACACAGAATCTGCCACAAAAAGTAGTTCAAGGCAGTTGCCATCAGCTTGCTCAGTGCCATCCCTTCAAATTTCTAACCGTTTGCATGTCCCTGTGCAGAGGTGGAGTGCCATTATAAGCCAGCCTAATAAGGAAAATTTGCATCAAGATCACATCTATAACTCCCTCGGAAGAAGAGCAAGCAATATAAAACCCCAGACATACAGCAGGTCGCAGTCATCATCCTCTATTGTGGTCAGTAGATCTGGGGAATCAATCGTTTATCCTAACGAAATGGACAAGAAAAAGCTTCATTCAAATAGGAACTTCCGATTTGATAGCCATGAAGCATCAGATACTGCTCCAGGATGTACGGAACCTGACACGAGAAAGCAGATCCCTGAGAACTATTCAGATATGATTCTGCAGGACTCTCAGAAAGTCCTGAGAGTAAACAGGACCTCCCCTCTGACTGCCCAGGTGGCTACTCAGAACTACTTTTCTAATTTCAAAGACACCGAAGAAGGGGATGATGACGACTATGTTGAAATCAAATCTGAAGATGAGGGATCTGACTTGGAGACTTACCAGAACCAGACAAGGAAATTGGATCCTAAATTAAGTAACACAGACGCCCCTTCTGAAACTCTCTGTAGCAAAACTGTGTCTTGTACTCCGGCGAAATCATCGAACAACAAACATGCGCTTACACCCTATCTGACTGCATACAGCGATTCAGATAAACTGAATGACTACCTGTGGAGAGTACCGTCTCCCAATCAGCAGAATCTTGTCCAGTCCTTACGGGAAAAGTTTCAGTGTCTGAGTTCCAGTAGCTTTGCTTGACGCTTTCAGTAACTTCTAGTTGTAATGTCTTAACATGACAAAGTATATATTAATACAGTCAGTGCTGGCATCATGTATTTCAAAAATAGTACACGATCAGGCATTGTTTCAAAGTAATATTGTAAATAGATGCAAAATGTCTCTCTTTTTTATGGTTTAAAGTCCTGAACGTTGAAACGGTTTTGGTGCACTGCCTGGTGTCGCTGTAATGCAGGTGGACTTCTATCTCATGTTTAACCTTTGCATCTCTTCCTCTTTTTCTCCACAGCTCAGTTTTTTTGTTAGGTGCAATATTGCATTTGATGCTTCAGTTGTGTTACCGTGTGGAAATTTTAGTATCAGGGCTTAGTTGGTGATTGTCTCTGTGCCCAAAATACCCATGTGATTACTCTGGTTGTGTAGGAGAGTATTTAACGGAGTAGCTGTTCCTAAGACTGTGGGTTTCTAAGCACGATTCTGGTAATCGCACCAGTGTGCTGAGTGTGCAGGTGTACATACATTTTGCACGTTACCTTCTGGTAATTCGATTCCAAGTCTGCGGGACCAATGCATGTGATACATTACCTTAGGCTTCTTAAATTTTAAACAAAATCTAGGCCTAGTGCTTGTGAAAGGTGCCAGGCTGGTAGCTCCAGATCTGAAGCCTTTATGTAATTGTGTAGCAGACAGAGGCTGTGGTAGCTTTTTCTATGTGAATTTGTCAATGTGATACAGTCCTTGTCCAGAGGATGTCAGGGGAGTAGCAGGGGAGCCCTGCTGCTGGTGAAAATGGCTAGACCCAAGTGCTGGTTTTGCACCTCCTTTGGTTGTGACATGCAGAAAACTTGTGTATCTGTAACACCGAGCCCAGCATTAAAAAAAAAAAAAAAGGAAAGGATGTGCCAAGTAATTGTAACTTGTATGCGGTGGTATTTGTTCAAATTTCAAAGTCAGTAACACGGGCAGAGAGTGGGACTTGGCCAGATAGTTGGGTGAAACATTAATCCTGCTGCATGCTTGGCCAGTAGGGTGTTTCAGTGACAGTGCATGTAATGCAGCCTCTGGGGAAGACAGTTTCTATCTCCCATTCAGGAACAGAGCCTTCCCAGCACAGAGACAAAATCTGCATTAATCTGCATTTTCTAAACCAGCCAGGGCTGAGTCTTATCCTATCTGTATACAGTAAAATAGCTAGAGATCAGAATACATTCCATTCTTCTGCAAGTGGTATGTGCAGGAAATGCTCCCTTTTACAATGAGAGCAGACTTTGCAGTATGAAGCATTTACTTCCTTTTGTCGTCTTTGTTGCACAGCTTTGGGTTTTGTTACTTGAAAACATTTTACCTAAATGAAAGCCTAAATATGTCTACTGCTTAGCCTTTGGTCATCTTGTGTGACTGGCTTTTTGGTGCTTAAATCCTTCCGATGAGGCATATATAAAGCCAGTACTGAGTTAAACATATCCCTAAATACGTTTAAGTGAAGTACTGTTTTTAGTAATAATGCATATTACTCCTCTAAGATTAGTGTTGTACTTCCAGAACTGCCAACTATTTGTAACATCAGTTATGAGGAAAACCTGAAGTTATCAATGTACAGTCACTTATTTAGATTAAGATTTAAGGACATGAATTTGTTGGAATGGGTTATCTACTGCACCTATCTTGCATTGGCTAGGAAATTTTGTTTTGAGGTCAGTTTGTCACTGTACTTATTAGCCTGTGCGGCCTGACCCTGATACTTGTTAGAGTCAGCACATCCACTGCAATAGGACCCACCTCTAGTCAAATACAACGAGGAAATAATGCTGTACATATTTAAGACGCAGAGATTTAGTGGAGACCATATTTATTTAATAGCGCTTGTAAAGTATTGTAAATACAAATAGAACCTGTGCTTGACCCGCGCGCGATCTAGATTTGGTTGGAGAATCCCGTTTAACTTGCATCTCGCGCCATCGGTGTCGAGAGAAAAGAGGAGGAAAGGAAAAAAATAAAAAGGGAGCCCTATTAGCGTGTAACTTCTCCCAGGGGACCATTTCATACTCTTTTTAATAAATTTTGAGTACGCAAAGGAGTTGATTTTATTATCTCGTTTATTTCTTACCCGCAGCGCGGGCTTTTCGTGCCGAGAGGGGGGTGAGCGCG